TGGGGGGCAGTAAGAGGCGACCAGGCCGGCGGGGTGGGTGGGGGGGAAGTTAGGGGTGATCAGGCTGGATGGGGGGTGCAGTTGGGGGCAACCAGGCAGGCAGGCAGGTGAGCGATTAGGAGCCAGCAGTCCAGGATTATGAGAGGGATGTCTGACTACCAGTTTAGGCCCGATCCCCGATACCAGGCCTCTAGTAAAATATAATATATTATTTGTGGATACATAGTAAAAGTGCATTGGGAATGACTGCATACTGGCTTTACCATGGTGCTTACCTCTGGGGAGGGGGACAGAAATGAGGCCTTGGCAAAAAACATCCCTTAAAGCTGGATGATGGGCATCCAAGGTTCTGGTAAGCAATTTGTGTACTTTTCTGGATGGAAATTTGAAATTGCTCAGGCTTAATCCTGTGTAAATGAGAAGACCCATGTCAGGCTGAGAGATGGGGAAGAAGCAGTCTTCCAGGCGGAGGGAATGACATCAGCAGGAGCCCAGAACCATGAAAGCACAGCCTGTTCTAGACTGGAGTAAAGGATGCTCTGGTTGGAAACAGTAGGAAAAGGTTGATGGGAGCCAGCCATAGTATCTGGACTCTATTCTAAACCAGTGGGACCACCTGAAGCTACCTAAGGCCTGTGAGCATTATCAGGACACCACCAAGGCACTGACCACCCACCCCCTCGGCGCCTGTCCTCCTCACTCACCTCCTGACCTCGGTGAGATGCTTTGCTCTGAGCTAGAGAGCTGGCTATCAGGAGGTCAGGGGCCCCCTTCGCAGCAGCCCTTGGAGATGAGTCAGCTGGGAGCTGCTAACGTGGCAAATACGCATTGTCTCATGCACAGGTGTGAGGTCCAGGAGGCTCTGAGGCAGCACTGCCTGAAGCTCGATGAGAGTTCAAACAATCCCCAGAGCCAGCAAAAAGAAAATTGTCTCATAAAACTTGCCATTGATTTTAGTCAAGATCCTTATAAATTCCCATGGGGCCAGATTGCTCTTAGCATGATTAATATCCCTGCCTTCCCCGAGCACGTTTCTCTGCCTCTCTGCCTCTCTCTCTCTCTCCTCTCTTTAATACATGTGCCCAGACACACTACATACTCAAGCACATGCTTTTGGTCACACATGCTCACGCATGCTCACTCTCCAGCAGGGACAAGAGACAGAGGTGCATGTCGGTGTGTTTCTCGCACTCCTTAAACACAGGGTGAAATGGTTCCCTTGTAGGGAAACTTCGAGTCTGTTTCCCTTTGTGATACATTTTTCACACATCTCAAATCTGGCTAGGCCTTGCCTGTGACCAAAATTTTCCCTTGAAAACACCCCTGAGTTCACATAACCCAGAGCAGGGGCCCCACATCAATCATGGAAGCTGATGACTGGTGGGTTGGCTCCACAGACCAAAACAAGCCACTTAGAAGCTTGTTCTCTGCACAGCCGGGGCGCCCCAGGGCTCAGGAGGGGAGAAGACACCGCTAGAGTCCTGCGCCCAGCAAAGTTCAGACCTGGGGCCAGAGGCAGAGGAAGCTTCTCAATTATGTTCGGGACTTGTTACTTTGGCGAGCAAATTCGTGTGTGTAATAAGGAGGGGAAACATCCGTAATAGTTGCTTTTCGAAGGCCCGCAGCTTAGCAGACACATTAGCTCACACTTATTACTATCCAGGAAATCCACGTCTCCATCAAAGAATATCCCCTGCCAGGTACCACATGCTGCTCGATCCTCAAGCCTTCTCCTTCCCCTGAGGCTCTCCTCCCACTTTTCCAATTCTAAGTCTTACCCAAAACCTAGGGAAAAATAGGCAGATTCCAGCGGGTTCTTGGTGGAGTCACGTAGAGCAGGCCTTTCTGCATCTATGGCGCTTTGGAGATCTGTGATTCCGAGCTCTGTCTCAGACCCTCACCTGCCACCGAGGAGCCATGGCCGCTCTACCTCAGTGCTCCTACAACGCATCCCAAATACCTGTGTCCTCAGTGACCTTCCCTGTGCAGAGCTCCTTCCTCCTCAGACGGAGTCTGTGGGATCTGAAAGCGAAAACTTGATCTCATTCTTCCATCTCCCCCACAGCTCTTAGCACAGCTCCCAGAACATCATAAATGCCTAATAAATTGTTTGGTTGGTTGACGTGCTTTGAAAAGAAGGTGTAGATAAAGATGGTCCTGGGATGTTTACTCTGTCTGGGAGTTTCCTGTAAAGTAGACAATCCAGGGTGGAATGGTGTCAGGATCCTGCCCAATCAATCTCAGTAGCTCAGATCCAAACAAGGTTTCACACAGAGGACCTTCTCTGTGCATCAGTGGTGCCCCGTAGGGGATGCCATGGGAACATCCACAGGTCTTTGATGCACTGTCTCTTTTGCATAGCAAAGTGGTTAAGAGGAGGGACAGTAGACATCAGGTTCAAATCCTGCTTAAGTTCAAATACCAGCTTTACCTCTTACTAGTGAGTGACTTTGGGGTTTATCTATCTCATTGTTAAAATGTGCATATAAAGTTGTACATCATTGGATTATTGTGAAGTTAGGTGCTTTCCTACATATAAATCTACTAGAGGCCCGATGCACAAAAACGTGCAAGAGTAGGCCTTCCTTCCCCTGGCTGCTGGCACCGGCTTCCCTCCCTTCGTCCGGAAGGTTGTCTGGAAGGACATCTGGTCTAATTAGCATATTAAAGTTTTATTATTATAGATTTAAAATAGTGGCTACCATATTTACCTGACAATAAATATTTATTGTCAGATAAATATGCATCATGTGCCAGTCACTGCTCTGATTGCTAAAAATATAGCAGTGAGTAAAAATAAAAGACGAAAATTCATGTTCTCCTGGAGCTAATAATCTAGTGGGGACATCGCCCTAAGTAAATGTCAGGGTTCCCATAATTAGTTTATGTTTATTATCTTCATAGCATCACCCTTTGCCTCCCCTGCTGGCCTGTATCTCAAGTTGTAAGCACACAATGGGTATTCATAAACAATTCTTGAATGGAAGATGATTAACTGAATCCATAATTGTAACATTGCCATATTTATGTCAATCTCAAAATTATATTAGACAATGTGTATATATTTACATATATACTTATCCTATATAATAAAAGGCT